ACGCAGTGTAGAGGGTATTTCCCTTTAACGACACAGGGAAAGCCCACCTCAGATGCATTTGGATTCTGAATTTAGCAAGAGAAAGAAGAGGTCAGAGGCAAGAGACAGTATCTACAGAGTTTTTAAAACAACACACATATATATAAGAGAGAAAAATTTTGAGAGAAAGGGTGAGGGAGAAAGAGAGACAGAGACAGAAAGAAGACAGAGACACACTAGCTGACTTTTCTCTGGGTGTTTGGCTGGATAGAGGGATTTGGGGCAGAGGATTTTTTTCAATTAAAAGCACAGGTAAAATCCACCTCAGATGCACATGGATTCTGAAATTAGCAAGAGAAAGAAGAGGTCAGAGGCAAGAGACAGTACCTACAGAATTTTTAAAAACAAACACAGATATATATGTATATATATGAGAAAAAAATTTTGAGAGAAAGGGAGAAGAGAGACAGACAGAAAGAAGACAGAGACCACCCTACCTGACTTTCTGCTGTTCTGGTTTGGGACAGAGGCTCTTTATGGTTAAAGGACAAGGAAATTCCACTTCAGATGCACATGGATTCTGAAATTAGTAAGGGAAAGTAGAGATCAGAGCAAGAGACAGTACCTACAGACTTTTTAAACACACACATACACATACACACACACACACACACACACACACATATATATATATATATATATATTTATATTGGAGAAAATTTTGAGAGATAGGGAGGGGGAGAGAGAGATAGAGACAGAAAGAAGACAGAGACCACCCTACCTGTCTTTTTGCTGAGTGTTCATCCAGAAGGAGGGGTTTGGGCAGAGGCATTTTCTGGTTAAAGGGTCAGGAAAATCTCACCACCACCTCTGATCATAAGGGTTCTGCCTTTTTGCTGGGTGTTAATGAATATAAAAATTTAAAAATATTTGTTAAAAAAGCAAAATACATTTGATGACATCATGGATGTGAATATAGGTTGATAAATGTTTACTAATTCCAGTTTGGCACAATACAAATATTCTGTAAAAATTTCTGTCCATTGTAAAAGACATAAATTTACATATAATATTATTTAAAAAGCATGAAGAGCAATGGTGATAGTAGAGACAGTGCAGGAGGAGGGTTGGAAATGGGGTGAGAAGGAGGGAATCAAGGGGAAAAGATTCAAACCATTTAAGGAACAGAAAAATGGAAAATTGCCTGTTGATGATGAACACATATGGTAATTTCTTTGACTGAATCAATATACAGTGTATTCACAATCAGAAAATTCTTTTGGTATGTTATATTGATACACAGTGATTGAATGTAAATTGATAATAATAGATTTTTTCAGGGAGAAAGATTGTTGCTATAGGATAAATAAACTCAACAGAGAGCCATAGAGAGATAGAGAGACAGAAAGCAAGAAATCATCCCCTGGGGCGGGGGGGGATGGCCACACTGCAAACTCTTCTTCTCCAGTCTCCTCTTAGGTTCTTAGACATGCATGCACATGCACCCAC